CCTGCCAATATTTTGGTATCATTGGATAGAAGAGATTCTAAACTTTTAGATAACATATATATTGTTGAGGGATTTTGCTTAGTTGGTGAGATATAGGCGGATTTATGTTTGGATTTCGATGTAATCCCATGAGAAGTTATCTTCTTTGAAGTTAATCCCTTGGATAGATCAATCGGTCGTTATACTGAGAGCTTTTTTTGAAGGAAACAGCTTGTATATTGTAAGTTGTATCGAGGCTTACGTTGTTATTTGTGTTTTCGAGTAAAATCGCTACTTTACACTGAATTTTTTACTTTTTTACTGAGACATTCCACATTTGTGAGTGTATTTCTCATTTTTTGATCACGATTATCAATCATTTTGCATCGATCGCTTGTGATCGTTCATTCGAATGGGAATTTTTACAATGTTTTTTGGAAAAAACTGGAAAATTCTGAAAAAATTTTCAGTTTATTGCAGCTGACTTCGAAAGCAACTGTTCGTGTTGTTGTTGGTGCTAATGTTAATGTGGAAGATGCGAGATGTAAGAAATGGAGAATGCGATGAGATATCATTTATTTTCTGCTGATTGGAGATTGGAAAACGAATACGACGAATACAATTTGATCACAATTTGATCAAGTGATCGATTCAAATCGATCAATCAGTGATCGAACCGATCGGTGAATGGATCGGATCAACGACGATTCGATACGGATCAAACGGGATCAATACCATCCCCAAGTCTTCATGTCCGCATAAGCCTTGGCCAGCAGCTCTTCCCAATTCGCTTTTTGCTCATCGGTGACACCACCAGCGTGTAGGGCCATTGCCGCCAGGAAAGCATCGGTAGTTTTCTGCAAAATCGATTTTTTTGATCTGATCTGAATTTTGATCTAAATTGATTGAAATTGATCTAAACGATCAAAAAAAATCTAAATTTGATCTAAAATATTAGCGATAAGTGAGTAAAATCGATAAATCAATAGAAAGATCACACTGAAATCACACCGTAGTAATTTTTGTTTTCCATTTCAGACAATACTTACATTGAATTTTTCCATGGGCACACCGACATCCTCGTATTGATCCTTGAATGCCGACAGTGCAGAGCGCCATTTGCGATCGTCGTCGATCACCTGCGGCAGTTTGAAGAAGTACTGCAGTTCGGACATGCCGTGCATGATGAATTTCTGCGATCTGGGTATCGTGTCCGGATCCAGATCCTCCGCATCGTAGTGAACGGCCATATCCGGATGCAGTTTGAACAGTCTGCAAAGCGGCACTCTATTAAGTACTGTTACTGCATTACTTGTTAGTGGTTACTGTAACTAACTAACTCACTGTTTATGATACTCTCCAGCCGTGTCTTTGGTTAATTTATATTGCGCTGCATGATTCTTCAACAATTCGGCGTTGACCATTTTCACTGGAGCTTGGTATCGGAGTTTGGTCCTGAAACGAATTTGACCAGTTTCATGAAACGATTTGATCACGATCAGTTTTACGCGCGTTTGATCAGTCAGTAATTGATCAGAAAGAACGCGAGTAAGTGAGTGAGTAAGTAAGTAAGTAAGTAAGTAAGTAAGAAACAGCGATCAGCGACTGATCAGAACTGATCAGCAAGCAACTCTCGATCGCAACCCCAAAACCACTAAATGAAGATTAGGTTTAAGCTTCAGTGGATTAGCCAGTGGTCTCTAAGCCGCTTCACACCTCCACTTACAAAAGCCACTTAACGCGATAAGCACTGGATTAAGAAGAACAACTGCTCTCAAACTCAGGCTTAGAGACAGCTTAGGCTTAGACTTAACATTAAAAAACTCTACTCAATAATACTCCGTTTATGATCTCATTTTACGTCATCAAAAATCAATCAAATCATGTTGATCTGTTATGATCGATCACTCAACATATCGATCAGAGAGCAATTTATACGAATATTATCAGTGAATGGGAGCGCTAGGAATAATAATAATACTGATAGTAGTGATTATGATAATAGTAATTCGTAATTAGCTGGAGTTCGTAATTAGCTGGAGTTCGTAATTAGCTGGAGTTCGTAATTAGCTGGAGTTCGTAATTAGCTGGAGTTCGTAATTAGCTGGAGTTCGTAATTAGCTGGAGTTCGTAATTAGCTGGAGTTCGTAATTAGCTGGAGTTCGTAATTAGCTGGAGTTCGTAATTAGCTGGAGTTCGTAATTAGCTGGAGTTCGNGCTTGAAGCTCACTGGAAAGCAGTTGAAGCGTGTGTATTAGAGCAACAGCCGGTGTATATTGTTTTTAATCAGAATCTTATAGATATCAATCTTTCACATCATCAATCTTAACTCGCAACCACTAGCTGTTGCGTTAAATGTTGCGTTAAACTCTCTCTGTGCTGTGCTCACTGCTGCTATTTGTCTTTAAGTAATCGGAGTTAATTTTAAGTGCTTATTATAAAGCCATGTGATGTGTATTACGTTCTGCTTGTTGAGCTGCTGCTGCTGCTTTTGGCTTTTTTCATTTTACTCTTATCATTTACTCTCGAAACCGGCTCTATCTTACGATCACGATTCGTTCGGCAAATGGTCGATTTTTCAAATTCAAGAAAAATTGAGGAAAATCGAATGATTTTAGTGAAAAACCAACTATTAATAGACACTTGAACGTTAGTCGTCTTAGTGAAAAAGGGGCAAATCGATCAATCAATCAGGATCAGGAGGAGTAGAACAGTATTTGCCTGCTTGTTTTGTTTTTTTTAGCAATGAGCAATTTTTTTCTTTAAGATTCAGTTTGTTCGGAGATTTCAAATTGGAATCCGGAGAATCAAAAATAATGCTGCAGGATTTTGTGCTACGAAATTTTGAAGTGAAAATTTCAAATTCCCGCCAAATAAAATGATTTTTGAAAAGTTCGATTTGGTTCGCGTTCGATTCGGTTCGTAATAGAGCATTTTCTATCTGCACTAGATTAATCTAATAAATTTAATTTGGAGTAATTTTTCGGAATTATTTCCAATTTTTTGCGGGTGTTTCTGGTTTCCCGGGTAATTTTTTCCGCCTCAAAATTTAATAATTTAATTTTCAGATGATCAGATCTGTGGTGGTTTGCCGAAATGTAGCCTTAAACTGTCATATGGGTCTGCAAGCTGCTGCTGCTGCCTGTTCTTTGAACGACGGGGCAGAGGAAAGGATGCGGAAGTTTGCAACAACACCCGTGGGTAGTAGATTCAACAACGGGAAACCACCTGGGCGGGAATCTGACGGGCAGAATTACCCAACGAGAAATACCCGAACGTCGTCTAGGAATTCACGCTCTGAAGACGGTGGCAGACGGCGTTGGTTTTCGGGTAAAAAGCGTTATGGCGGCGGCGGTGTTTTTGTCCCGCTGTTCGGTCTATCGTGGCTAGTCACCATTAAGGATCTGTTGGGAATAGAGCCGTTTCGTACGGATGCAGATCCGCTGAAGGATAATGTGAAAAAGGTGACGCTGGCAACTTAAAATTTTGGAATTCTTAAAATTTTTGGGAAATTTTCGATATTTTTAGTGATCAAGTAAACATTTCAGGCGTTTATTTGCCGGAAATACGGCAAATATGAGGAGGCCATACAAATTCTGGAGGCATCTCTCGAAATGGCCAAGGAGCGAGGCGAAGAGCTACCCATAAGTAGGGTACTGGATGAATTGGCAAATACTTACTATGAAATGGGTAATTTGGAGAAGGCAGAAGAGCTGTTCCGACTGCTTATACGAAGGTGTTTATTGAAGAGTGTTTTCAGTTTTTGGCGCGGGTAAATTATTTACCCGAGCATCTGGGCGGCAAAGTTCCTGGGTAGAGTTTTACGGGAAAAATTCTTTTTGCAGGATGATGGAATTGCATGGGAAACACGAGAGTGACCCGGAATTCATTGGCATTAGCTTGAAGCTGGCGGATATTTTTGCCCAAAACGGGCAACTGGAGAACGCTGAGACAGGCTATAGACACTGTGTTACGAAGCAGATGAAGGTGGACTTCTTGAATTTGGGAGTTTTTTCGGGGAAATTTTTAATTTCAGGTCAAAATTTTGAATTTCTGGTCATTTTTTCAAATTTTAGATTCTTGAAGAACACATGAAAAAGTACGTCGTGGCCCAGGGCGCCTTGGTCGAGCATCGACATCAGGTTGAAGCGCACGGGGCGGCGTATACGGATCCGATAGCGTTGTTCGGCATGTGTCTGGAACAGTACGCGCATTTTTTGGTACGGTTTTAGGGGGGTTTGGGCAGGAACTTGGGTAAATTTTACCAAAATTTCGGGAAATTTTTGAAATTTTAGGTTATTTTCCAAAATTTTTGGGTAAATTTAGTGTTCCGTTAATTTTCAGTGTTTTCATTGATGTTTCTATGTTTTTTCAGGTGACGTATCGAGGTGAGGATAGGTTAGCGGAGTGTGAGGAGTATATGGACGAAGTGCTGAAGGTGAGAGAGACGTGATTTTGGATATTTTTTAATTTTGGTATTATTATTGTTATTGTTTATTGTTATTATTTATTATTATTGTTATTATTTATTGATATTTATTATTATTATTTAATATTTATTATTATTATTATTAAGGGAAATTTGCAATCGGATGAGAAGTTGTGTGTTTTTACCGATTTCAGATAAGTTATCAGCTATTTGGTGCGGCTTCATTTCATNTTATTGTTATTGTTTATTGTTATTATTTATTATTATTGTTATTATTTATTGATATTTATTATTATTATTTAATATTTATTATTATTATTAAGGGAAATTTGCAATGGATGAGAAGTTGTGTGTTTTTACCGATTTCAGATAAGTTATCAGCTATTTGGTGCGGCTTCATTTCATACAATGAATCTGCTGAATAATTTTGGAGCGGCGTTGATTTTGAAGAATCGGTTGGATTATTTTGGAAAATTTGGAAATTTTTATGAAAATTTGAAATTTTTTGATGGAATGGAGATGGAAAATATAATTTTTGTGAAGGAATTTTTTATTTTATTCCGTTTTTTGGAGCAAATTTGTGAGGGAATTTTGCATTCTTACGGTTTTGAGGTGAAAATTTTCATTGAAATTTGGATTTTAGGATAGAAATTTTGGGAATTTTTTTGGAAATTTGGAAATTTTTTCGGAGTAAATTTGGCGTTTTTTCCTTTAGATTTGAACTGGCTCGGAAGTATTTGGCGATGGGTGTTGAGAGGATTGTGAACGTGGACGAATGTAGTGGTATGATACCGGGATATTATTGTAATTATGCTGAGGCGTTGTTCCATTGTGGCCAAAAGTGAGTGATTTTTGTTATTTTCAGTTATATTTTTGGATATTTGTGAGAAATTCTCTTTTTTAGGGAAAATTTGAGCGATTATTGAGAAAATTGAGCTAAAATTCGGAATTTTTGGAGATATTTGCAGGGAAGAGGCGTTGAAGTACGCGAAGAAGGCGGTGAATTTGTCACGGTCCGAGGAGCCACGGGTGCAGGAGTACGCGAGACGCTTTTTGCACGATCTCGAGCGGGACTTTAGGGGGAGGAATCGAAAAAATTGGCTGTGGTTTTGGTAGATTTATGAAGAAAATAGCGGATAGACTAGGGAATTTTGCGATGATTGAATGGAAAATAGGTGGTTTTTTGGTTAGGGGGAGGTAAAATGGTGGTTTTTCTGGGTAATTTTTAGTAAGGAACGGTAAATTTTGGTAGGTAAAGATGGCAAAACGGTAATTTTTTAGGTGAATTTGGTAAATTTTTAGGAAAACGAGCGGTAAATGAAATTTTGAAAAGTGGGGTCTGGGGCAGGTGGATCCGCGATAGTTGGCCCTGTGCCAATTTGTTTGGATTTGGTAGTTGACAATGTGCCAATTTGTTTAGTTGGCACCGTGCCAATTAGAAGAACATTGTATTTATGCTTTATGTATGTATGTATATCTAACAGCAGCGATCCTAATATTGTTATTATTATTATTGCTATTACTTTGTTTGTTTTTCTGTGAAAATAATGATAGTAACACGAAAGATAATGAGCTAATTTCGAGCTAATGTCATGACCTGGAATTAATTTCAGGATTTTTACGAAAATGTGAATTTTGTTATTATTGTGTTGTTGTGTTTGTTGTTTTGTTGAGATTTGTAATAATAGTAATTTGTAATAATAGTAATGATAATCGTAATGGTAAATGGTAAACGAGGTGGTAATTGATCAACGTATCGCGTTGGAATTTTTGATCTTTTTCCTGAAATCAAAAAAAATTATCTCGAAGCAGTTGAGGGATTTACGATATCCGGTTGTGGTGATTTTAAAAATTGCAGATGCGAAGCGACGAGTTATTTATTTTAATTAGAATGAAGTGGTATGTTTACAATATATACAGATACGACGACGACGGCATATGAATGATGGATGGTGGCATCGGTTCGGTCGGATTATTGAGGAGGTTTATCCGGGAGGTGCGGATGGATTTCTGCGAAGGGTTAGCTGGACAAGCCAGTCTAACGAGTCGAAGCAGCCAAGCGACCGGGCCGTGCCTAAGCAACCACGTGGTCGAGTACCATCTGCCGCATGGTCTCATAGGAGTGATAGAAGGTATCGTCGTGATTCTTGTCCTCGTAGACTTTTTCACCCATTTGTCCGGGTACTTTTGTGGTGACCTGGAATTAATTTCAGGACTTTTTCGAAAAAAAAATCAAAAAATTCACAGCGATTCGTGACAGATTTGGTAAAAAATGTTTAGAAGAAAAGTCGTCTACGACAGATTGATGCCAACGGACAGAATGGAACCGAGCCAATTGGCACCGTGCCAGGTTCGCAGAAAATTTGAATTTGAATGTGTTTACGTTATTGCATACGGTGTAGCCAACAAGTTGATCCGCCTTGCTATAGATGGCGAACACATGCTTTGCTTCGTATTTTTCCACTGCATTAATGTCCTGAAATGGGATTTACGATATCCGGTTGGGGGATATATGATAATTGTTTGAGGGATTTAGGATATCCGACTGAGGGTTGATACATACGAGCGGTTGATGCTTACCTCCAAGAATTCGCTTTTCGTAGGGCAAACACCTGAGTAGAGTCCTGTTTGTACGTTGCAAATCGGCAACACGCTAAACACACATCCGGGCAGACTCAAACCACCGACCTGAAATTAATTTTAGGTTGACACTGATTCGCAAAAAATTTCCCCAATATGAGTTCAAAAATTTCAGCCAGCCTTACCTGGAGTGCTATTCCTTGATTTGGACCGGCTACACTTACGAACGTGTCGACGAAACGCGTCAGTGGATTGCCCAGATCCTCCCCGGTGTCCACACATTTGCCTGAAATGGAATTTCCGGTTTCCTGAACGGTTT